GAGGGCACCACTGAGGTGGCAGGAGGTCCCCGGGTGGAGAAGCCTTGTGAGGGGGGAGTGGCCCCGGGAGGGGTGCAGGGCTGCGGTGGCGCAGGCAGCTCTCCGGGTGCCCGGGCCAGGTGGGCAGTGGCGTCCACCTGGTCACAGTCCGGGGATGGAGGGCAGCTTGGAGCCACGACCCCTCAGCACCCGCTTGCAGGGCTGGGTTTGAAACCTCCCTCGTGGTCCAGGGGATGTGACTCTGGTCTGCGCTGGGTGCCCGGCCCTCGTGGCGCCCGGGCTGCCAGAGCAGTTGCTGCGACCCCAGGCCCAGCTGCCTTGCGCTGGGCTCCCTGGGCTTGGGGGCCTTTGAGGAGCACGGCTGTGACCCCCAACAGACCTAGCACTGGCCTCACGGGGGGGTCTGCCTCTCCTCCCCTGGCCCTGGGCAAGGCCGGAGCAGGTCTGGGGGGAGGCTGGGCCTGTGCCAGCACCTGCCCCACGTGTGACCCCACACGGACCCGCCGGCACCTGGAGAGAAACCAGCCCTGGGTCTGTGGCAGGTTTTCCAACGCTCGCTGTGTCCCCGCTTGGCTCTTCTCACAGCTGGGGGTTATACAGACTTTTATCTGTGGTCCTGACTTGGCGTGTGTGGCCAGTCCACATTTATCCTGTGATTCAGCAATGAACCGTGCCATGTACGTAACGTGTGGCATGGCCTGGGTCTCCCATCCACGCGGTGCCCGTGCCCCACTCTGCTCAGCTGGCAGCAGCAGATGCAGACAAACGCCTTCCTCAGGGGGAGATTACAGAGGAAGGAAGGGAGGGTGAAAGTGCGGGTGATGCAAAGTCTGCTCTTGGCCGCAGTGGCCTGCCCAGAGCAGATACACTGCTACCGTGGCATTCGTGGAAGTGCTACCCCTCGGGGGGGGTTGCAAATATATTTCGTAGACACTAGGGCTGGAAGGGACCCCGGAGGGTCATCGAGTCCAGCCCCCCGCCCAAAGGGCAGGAAGTCAGCAGGGGTCATAGGATCCCAGCAAGGTAAGCATCCAGTTTGCTCTTGAAGGTGTTCAAAGTGGGTGCTTGAACCACCTCCAGCGGAAGGCTGTTCCAGACCTTGGGGGCTCGGACAGTAAAGAAATTCTTCCTTATGTCCAGCCTGAAACGGTCTTGGAGGAGTTTGTGACCGTTTGACCTTGTCATCCCTTGGGGCGCTCTAGTGAACAATCATTCCCTCAGCTCCTGGTGAACACCCCTGATAAACTTATAGGGGCCATCAGGTCCCCCCCGAGCCTGCGCTTTTCCAGGCTGAAGAGTCCCGTGGCTCTCAGTCTCTGGTTACATATATAAAACTGTACCTCTAGCACCCTGCCAAGTGACCGCTGTGGTTCACGGGGCAGACCAAAGCACACTATGACAGTTAAACCACAAAAACCGGTTACACAATTTGCACTGCACACCCATCTCCATTTCCGTACCCCCCCCCAGGCCCGCTGCACAGCGCACGGAGCCCCGGGGCCGGTCCCGGGTGCAGGGTCTCTCTGGCACCGGGGCTGGTGCAGAGCCCAGCGTGGGGGTCCTGGCCCTCCTGCTGCTGCTGTCTGGGGGTGAGCCCGGACAGGGCAGGGCAGGTTCCTGGGTGTGCAAACACAGCAGCGACAGCGCTCTGGGTTCAGACCCCGCAGGGAAGGGGCCTGGTGCCAGGGTGCTGCCCCTGGCCCTGGGGCTGGCAGTGGGAAGTGTAACCCAGGCCGTGTCGAGCGCTGCTGCCTGCTGGGCTGCGCCGACCCGGGACTGCTGGAGCTGGCAGGCCTGGACCCTTCTCACAGGCAGCGCCTCTTGCATCAGGCAGCGCCACGTCCCCGGTGCGGTGCCCGCAGGTGTCCTGTCGCAACCCATCCCACCTGCGGTCCTGCCTGCCAGCATCACAGCCCCGGGGAGACGGGGTACCTTGCAGGGAGATGCTTGGGGCCGTCCAGCTGATCAGCACCATCCCTGGCTGCGGGTGTCACGGTCCCCAGGCTGGGGTGCGCTGGGGGCCCCTGTGGGCCCCGGGCAGAGGCAGCAGCGGGAGGGGGGTCTCGGGGCCAGAGGGAGCAGCTGGTCCTGAGTCCTGCCTTCTCCCCCCAGCCATTGGACGTGCAGGTGCCCCCGTCTTCACCACAGGGCCCAGGCGTCCGTGCTGAGGAACAAGGTCTCTTGGACCCCTACTGAACGAGGGGAGCAATTAGTGACGGATGGGGGGACTAGGCTGAGCTCCGTGCACCAGGCGCCGCTGGGGTGCCAAGGAGCCACGGTGACGGGCCGACAGCGCCCATGTAGGACAGGTGTCAGCACAGACTGCTTCGCCGTGCGGGCGGCCTAGGCTCCGGGCCCGGCGGTCTCTCCCCCGCCCGGGGGCGGCCCTGGCCGGGGCCAGCTTGTCGCTGTCCAGGCACGGGTCGGACGCGATGATCGCCCAGCGCCCG